AAACATTTTTAATTTCGACAATTTGTTCCTTGATTCCATATAATGCTCTTAAATATGATATATTATCCATATTAATTTGATACTCAATTATTATTCGGGTATACGATTTATTTCGAAATAACTCTTCAAATATTGAAGGGCAAATATTTTGACAAGTAATATCAAATAAAAAGAATATAACAATGTTTCGAGTATCATCGTAAAATTTAATACTGTCATTTTTGTGATCCTTTTTTTCTATATGTATAGATATTATAATAGTTGCGTATATTCAATAGGCGGAGGGGGGGGGGAGGGAAGGCAATATTATAATAATTTGCGTATATATTGATATTGATTATTCGTCTATTATTCGCGAAATAATGGCTCGGAATAGAGACGGTCAGATATTCTGTCATGCAAAAATAAAAATGTTTTGCGTCATCCGATAATAGTCTGGAACAAGTTTGTAATTTTTTCCACTCCCCTTTTTCTAGAATTACAATTTTAGAGAGTTTTCTGTTTACATGTGAATCAATGTTACTCGTTATGAAAATTAACGTGCAAAATAATAGCTACCAGTCATTCGAGTGATGCTAACGGGAATATTAGAATTCACGTCGTATTGAATAAACAGCTTACGAGAGAAACCCACGCGTATGAGATTTTCAAAAAGTAAGATATACCACGCTGTTATTTGCATTTTCCAAGCGGCGGGGTTTAATGTATCATTCGAATGAGCCGTTTGCGAAATACGCCCGCTTAGAACACGACGATGAGAGCTATTCCAAGCATCGCTAATATTTCTGAAATGTGGCACACTCTCCAATTCTCTTTCACGCTTAAGCTCGTCATATCTCGCGAAATGGTGAAATCGTTATATTATCTTGTTATTATTATTCTGAAATTGTCCGTCCCGGCAGTTGCAAAACGTGCCAATGAACGAAAGGCACACACGACGAGTTATTACAGCGATCGTTAAATCGAGAGACAAATTCGTTTGTTTGCGCGCTTTTACCGCGTTTTTCGCATCATTTGCAACAATATCAAATTCGCTCAATCTTATACAGCTCGAACCAGGCGGTGAATGATTCACATCATAAAGCGACGATAAAAGAAGATATTTCTTCTTCGCCGCGTGCTGTTTGCAATAATCGACATTTTGCAACAGGGGAACCGTCTCTCTCTCTCTCGGGAACGAAACAAACGCCTTGTTTCCGCGTGTGACACGAGAGAAAAAGGGAGAGAGAGAGAGAGAGAGGGGCAACAATCGCCAACAACAACGAACCGTCCAAGCTGCCAAAATTCTACGCTCAAACACGTAGCTGCGAACCGAGCGAATCGATAAGCCCTTACCGAATTCAGGCCTGTCTGCCTGCCTCTTCGCAAAATTACTAATTACAGCTAGGGCACTCCCCGACGCGTTCCAGCGCGCACCGTCCAAATTGAACTGAAACCCCAGTCCCAGTTTGCGTCCGACACAATGCCTATCGCCGAAAACGAAGGGCCGGTGGGCTCACCATGTTAATGCCCAGGTATAAGGGAGATACCCGCATGGCCGGAGCCCACACCGATGCTCGTGTCCGATGGAAACTATCTAGTCGCGCGCATATACTGGGTGCGTCCAAAAATCACGCTTCTACACCAATATATATATATGTATAGGGTGATTCATTTTAATCTTAACAGGCAAATATATTTTGAAAAATATGCGAGATACGAAAAAATGTTTCAGACAAAAGTTATATGGTTTTAAAGGAGGCATAAGATGGTGTCATTAATTTGATCTTAAATAGTTACTTGAAAGTTAAAGAAGAAAAAATATGTCATTGTTAATTGCAAATTACATATTTTTTCTTCGAAACAACTATGTGTTTTCTTTACAATTGATTCCTCTCATTATTTTGTACATAAAAGTATTAAATTAAAGTAATCGAAAAATTAATATTTTACAAGATATTTTACGGTTTATGTAAAATTAAAAAATGATTTCAAGCCTCATAACTTGGAAAGTACTTAATGAAAAACTAACTTAATTATAGTGTTTTGGAAAGCTCTCGGGATAAGCTACAAGAATATGTGATAAAAAATAGGCGGTTCTACTTGAAAAATTGAGGATGATCTTCATATGATCTTCAAGGAACTATTTAAGATTAAATTCATGACACCATCTTATGTCTCCTTTAAAACCATATAACTTTTGTCTGAAACATTTTTTCGTATCTCGCATATTTTTCAAAAAAATTGCCTGTTAAGATTAAAATGAATCATCCTCTATATATATATATATATATATATATATATATATATATATATATATATATATATACATATATATATATATATATATATATATATATAGAGAGAGAGAGAGAGAGAGAGAGAGGATGATTCATTTTAATGATTTCATATATATATATATATATATATATATATATATATATATATGAAATCTGTCAAATATATGGAAGAGCGGTCGTTCGCTCTCTCTCGTCTCCGATATTGCGGAAGAGCGATTTGATCGCCGAGTTATTCAAACGTACGTAAATCGACGGCAAAACCGAGCGACAGGAAGACTAAAAATATTATACAAATATTATGTAAATATAATCACACATTTTTATATCTCGATAAAGGTACAGTTTTGGCAGAAGAATCGGAAAACTTTAAGGATCTGACGCGCAAACCAGTATGTTTTAATCCGTTACTCGTGCATACGTGCACGTATGTATGCGTGAACTCGATTTAACAACCGTCGACGGACAGGTCGGACGAAAGCAGCGACTACGTCGCGCCGACAATCGGCGAGCAGTAGCGTGACGCGAGGAAATCGCGATCCAGAAAGGTTTCCGCGACGTGACTCGCTGTCGACTACGTCGTCTGCGAGCGACAGATGTTTTTCGAGACGTTGCGGTTCGAAAGATTTAAGGCACACTGCGATCAAATATATTATTTTTGCCGGCGCAATTCAAAGATTTTCCGCGAAAGGACGTCCGAAGGCGCGGTTTCCAGAAATTCAATTCGCCCAAAATACTTGGAATTTTATTCGCGAGACGTAATGTCCCGTTGGCACGTAATGCGGACGATCGGTTACATGCGATTAAAATCTCGCAGTCTCATAATTGAATAAAATGAAAGTGAGTAAGTCAGAATGTCAGATAACGGTTCAAAGCGGAGCCAAGGCAAACCTGGCTCTAATCATATTTGTGTAAGAATCTAAATAAGCTTTAACATTACTCTCTTGTAGCGCCCGATTAGATTATTCCTGCTCATCATCAATATTGAAAGCGTTAATATTTATGTATAAAAAAATTTAATGTAAAAGAAATTGTACGTGTGATAGAAAAAAAAAATATATAACAAACAATTTCATCGAAAATAATGTAAAAATAATGACGCCAATAAATGGAAATTTAATTTTGTTATTCGAAGAAGGAATAAATAATTTCATGTTTGAAATGATTTACACTTTCACGAGGAAAATTATGCCGTTTAAGGAGAAAATTGCCGTTCGTCTCTCGAGCGAAGAGAGAAGCAAATAACGCGATAAAAGCGAAAATAATTCGTGTTACCGATGACGGAGATTTTCTAACGCAGTTACGTCCATTTTGGCATCGACGTAGGAATGTCTTCGTCACGTCCTCGTAGCACCTTGCAAATTTCTAGGTTATGTCGAATCGATCCGCTCGCGGGGAGATCCTATCGGCTGGTCATTCGGCAAAAAGCGCACGCTTCGTTCGCGATGATGCCATATGCTTGCCGTGTTTATCGCGCTCTCGCCTGTTTACGAGCAAACGTCAAAAAATTTCGGGCGATAAGGGGATTCGCTTCGACTCCGACCTCGCTTACTCCGATTCCCGGGGGGGATCGCGAGCGGCAGCGAGCTTCGACGAATTCGCCGAATTGCAAAATACATTGCGAGAACGACGAGAAGCCGCGGCGACATCCGCTTCCGCTCCGAGTGACGCGTAACGCGTGACATTCGCAATGACGTCTCGCCCGCGGACGTCAGGAGGCTCCGAAGTAAGACGCACGTCGTCGGAAAATGCCAACAACCCGGACGTCGTCGTCGCGCGCGCGCGCGCCGATGGATTTCGCGAGTTGCGAATTTGCAGGTTAGGGTTAGGTTGAGTCGGCCGCGCGACAGATGTTTCCAGCAAGGCTCTTATTCTACGCGTGTATAGAGGAGAGCCATTCAATCGACAGGACGGAGCCTGGCACGGGGGAAAGTGCGGACCGACAAAGTGCAGACACCGATAAACCGCCAGCCACGCAGACGTACGCCGGGAGAGAGAGAGAGAGAGAGAGAGGGAGAGGGGGGGAGGGAGAGAGAGCGAATATACGAGGGCGAGAGCAGAGGGATAGCGATGGAGGATGGAGAAAGGAAGAGATACATCGGCCAGGTCGTTATCGATACGCGAATACTTCGCGCGAGATATACGAACGTATAATTCCACGTCGTCGTGGAAGATACCCAATGATGAGCGAGTTTTTGGCTAGAGAGAGAGAGAGAGAGAGAGAGAGAGAAGCGATGACAGATACCTACGCGAGACGCGAAAAAGAGAGGGCGACAGGGTGAGATATTACGAAGAACTTGTTATCGTAAAATTTTCAAGACCGAGGCATTCACGTCACTGAACGAGATATTCCGCAGGGATATCTCTCGCGACTTGTTTACACTTTTCGTACGCCGAGACGATGTTCGCGATTGCGTACGTGTATTTCTGCTCGCGGTAGAGTCCACGTATGGTCCGCTCGCTCGCTCGCCGTAGCGTGAATGTACGATTAGACACGCACCCCGCACCGGACGTCACCTCCATCGTCCTGTCACGAAGCATTGCCGACGTGTAACGTTGCCGGGAAAGCTCCGAAAGTTTCCGGCACGGATTTCCGTCCGGCAAGAACCCGCGAGCGAACGGAGAGCCGTAAGAAAATGAAAAAAAAAAAAAAAATGACGTTCCGGGAAAAAGGACAGCGAGATGCGACGCAAACACAGAGAGATAGCGGGGAGAGAAACTCACCTCTCGCTTCTTGGCCAGGGTCTCTCTCTTCAGGGACGGGCCCGACGTTCGCGTAGCCGCATGTTCCGCCTATATCCACGGGCTGTCCGTACTCCTGTCCGGTTTGTCGGCCCCTCGTCAGCGACATACAGCCATCTTGCGTAGCGGCTGGCCTGACTCGTCGGAAGGCGCGGACGCCCTCGGTGCGGTGGCCTCCGGCGAGAGCGACCGAGAGGAGCGACGGCGACGACGATGACGGCGGGTGAGCCGCGTTGCCGGTGACGGCGGAGGGGGCGGGGAGCCGCCGTTGCCGCCGAGAGAGAGCGAGACGACGACCGCGCCGCCCGACGATGACGCGCGGCGGCGGTATAGGACGGAGCGAGACGGCGACGACGGCGACGAAACGTGGCCCCGCCGACCAAGTGCGCGTCGCACTAACACGCGCGCACGCCACCACTGGGCCAGCGCCACTCGGTGCACTCCTCTCCTCTCCTCTCCACTTCTCTCCTCGTCTCGTCTCTTCTCTTCTCTCTACCACTGCGCGAATCAACACCAAAGTACGATCATCGGGGCGCCTCCGCTCCTGTCACCGTTTCTTACTACCACCGACCCCCCTACTGCTGTCACGTCCTCGTCCTCGTCCTCGTCGTCCTCGGCCTCGTCCTCCTCCTCGTCGTCGTCGCCGTCGCAGGCTACTATCGCCACCGGTGTACCCGCGCACTGCACCACTCGCTTCACACTCCTCGCCACGATTCCGCGCGATCCCGGACTATTTCCGTCGGGTACATGTCTCGCGCGTGAGCGATGCCGTTAACACGCGCGTCGTCGATGCTCGTTTCGCGCGATACGTCGTTCTATTTTCGAGGCGCGAGCTATCTCTCGGCAGACTTTACGATCGCGTTCGCTTCTATCTCCGTCTCTGTCCCTCCGGCGCTTCTCCTCCCTCTTGTTGTCGGTGTGCTACTGCCGCGATGCGGTTACTGCCACCGTCGATCCGTTGCGAACCGCGCTCCACCACGCACTGCCATGCGCGACCACGGCTCGGACTTAACTGCCGCGTGACGGGTGACGGGACGCCCTCGGCCATCTCCGCCGCCGCTCGGCGAGCCGAGCCGGACCGAGCCGAGCCGAGGCGAGCCCAGGGCCGACCAATCGGCGGGCGACCGCGGCGCCCCGGCCGACAATCGGCGGCGTCTTTGAAATTGAGAAACGATTGTTTCGCAACCGACGCATCGAGCGTTTATATTCCGCGATTGAAAAACACGGAATGCCTTTAGAATTTTTCCCTCACCGCGCGACGAATGTATTCCCTCGGCGACGACGGATTAATACGACTCTGAATGTTTATCGAAATTTGTCTCGCGTGTAGATTTTTTTTTTCACAATGTTGCGCATATTTATTACGTAGGTTTAATTCTACGCAAATAGTGTCACATTTAAATGGACTTATAAATTTTCTTTCCTACTCGAGGTTCTTGAACTCTCACGAGTATAAGCGTCGTGTATATGTACATTTTTTTGCATACATTTTATTGAGATAATTTTAATTTATCTCATCTTTATACATGTATCCTCTCCGACGCGATTGGCTTAAAGCGCGTGAAGATAATAAAAGAGAAACTCGGAATTACGCTGCGCATTTGTATTATCTATTATCGTTTGATCCGCGTTTTATCTTTTATCACAATTTTTTGCATTTGTGCGCGTTTTAAAAATCAAAAATTCCCCGCTTTCGTCGAAGAAAAATATTCCACGAGATAATAATATTATATTTCGGTTGCAATTCGAACGATTTATGTCTTTTCACATTTCTGTCTCGTAAAAAACACGGCAGTAAATAAATAAAAAATATTCCATTTTTATGAAAACCGTGAATTTTACGTCGATAATATCCTCCCGTGTAGTTTGTTCGTCAACGTTGCCGATTCTTCGTAACGTTGGCTTCCACATCGTTATATGGAGCACGATCGTAACAGTTTCCACCGTCGGTGGTTTCTCATTCTCCTTTCGCGTTGCACGCTCGCGCCGCATCAAACCGATTCCCTATGAAAAAGTACGAAAACAATGGATCTTACGTCGAGGTTAAGCCGGTGATTTATAATCGCGCTTGTGAGATCGGAGCGAAGACGAATAAAATTTCAAGCGTCCTAAGCACTTTCACGCGATTGCGTCAGATTTACAAATACATGGCGTAGTACAAAAACACGGCTTAAATAATAAAAAACCGTCGAAAAATAACTGCGCATTTCTCTCCGATTCCGCCGGGCCACAAATATGTTTAGCTAAATATAACGGACTCGCGTATATTTTTTTAACCCTGCTCCGATGACGTGATTTACAATAATGCGAAAAATAATGCTAGTCTCTCTTGAATTTTTTTCGCGAAAAACTTTTTGCTGCGCGACAACGTGTTTAAGGACAGCGTTCAAAACTTAGCACTTGAAATGATCGATCAACAAGAGAATCGAAAAATACTACACTCGTTTCAATTTTATAAAAAACAAAATAAAAAATGTATATTTATATGTGTGTGTTCTGTTAATAAATTAATAAAGAAATATCTAAATGTTACATATAACAATTTAAAAATATATAGAATATTAATAAATATATATATAATATTTTTATAAAAATATTTTTCGCGTTATATATTTTGCTATTTATAAAATCATTGGATGTTTTTGCAATGATAGGTTCTCTTTGGCTAATTTCAGAGTCAATTTTTGTTTAATGAAAATATCGAGGCATTAATATTTTTAGAGTCAAAAAAAGTTTTTTATAAAGTAAACAGGTTTTAAAGAATCAGATGGCAAAATTGCATTCTTTAATTAATTTTAATTGAAATTTCACAAGATTTTGAAATTTAGTTATAGACATATTATATTGGAAAGTTGCTGCGAGAAATAATTTTTCTCGATTATTTTTTCTAAGAAAAAAAGAAAAATCGATTTTAAATAAGCCAAGGAATTTTTCTCGTTAAAGATATATCTGATGATTTGAGGGCATTCTGTAGCAAAAGTTTCCTTTTTTAAAAAATTATGCATTTCTGCATTTCTCTGTAGTTACAATCGTAATGTGTATTTGGGAACATATGAAATTCCTTTTCGGCACTGACATAGTTTTGCATCTCAATTACGCGCATATTTGCCACCGCGTTACGTGCAGTACGAAATGACAATATAATAAGAAATCTTGAATCACACATACACACACGATTCGCGCACTCGTCGCGGAATATCTTCCCGTCTGCGTGAGCCAAGTGAAACCGGATCTTCGAGAGAACGCGGTTCGCGTCAGTGCCAATATAAAGACAGCCGGCGCGAAATACTTCTAATTCGGTACATGCAAAATCATGCTGTGTACTTTCAGCTCCACCCACGAATATAATTTTAGGTGATAAGCAAGTCACTTTTTTAACAATTTACGATGATCGTCCCCCGACGATGACGATTTTCGGTCAAATTCCATGTCGGAAAACTCTACGAATTGAAAAGTTTCCAAAGATTAGATTTTAAATATCTCTTTCTTTCTTTACATCATTTCAATGCACAAAATAAAATAGACAAAATTATATATGAGTAAGATTTTTCAAAATTTTTCTTGTCGATTTTTCGGTAAAATAAATTTTTAAAACGGTATAAAGAGACTTTTCCGTGGGTCTCAAGGATTCAACAACCAAGTGAGAAAGTTACCCTTGAGACAGAACTTACCACTTTAACAATAAACATCAATAAATAAGACTTATGATTCATACAATTTATTTCTAAATGATTTATATCATCAATATTATAATTGTTTTTAACAGACTTTTGATGTAAAATTTCACTGAATTCCATTTAAATGCGAGAAATCAGGATTTTAGGTGCATTTTCTCAATATTTGGACATCATGTTTAGTACTAATTGCAAGAAATTTCTCATGCAGTCACTTTGAACTTTCGTTGCTGGTTTTTATCCTTTTTCCCTTCTAATGCTCTTAATAAAAAAAACTTTTTACGTAAAAAGAATGTTTGGAATATTGTTAATCAATAAACAAATATTTAATGTCGCATGAGACATTAGTATGTTCACATTTTTTCCAAAAAATTTTGAAAAATCATATATAAAATTTCACAACGATGTTTGATTTGTTTCGTCAGTTATATTAGACTTTGCAGACATTTTTATCGACAAAATTAAGATTTTATTTATCAATATCAAAGATTTATCAACCATTCATTTATTGTCGCGCATTGATATCAGTCACGATGTACCGAGTGTGTTTCTTTTCGATCGGAAAAAAGGCGTTATAAAACCGCTGTCATCTCGCTCGATTGTCGTGGTTATCGTTGAAATTAACCCACAAAGTCATCGTTGCGCATCCGTCTCGAAACTTTCGATCGCTATTAGACAATTCTATTCGAAGCCAGCAGTAATTACGCGATACACACGGTATACGTTAAAGATTTTCCGCGTGTCACTGGGTCACCGTACTGTCCTACGCGCGGGGATGTGAATACAGATCGCTCTCTAAATATCAGAGTGCTGGCAGAGTTGCATACGACCGCAGTTTCCAAAGTGCAGCCAGGAACGTACCGATATATCGGCGAACAGGCGAAATCGCGCACACAATCGTGCGCGATTTCGCCGATAAATCCCGGCATATCCTTTAAATGGTAACGATTTTTAAATCGAACAATTTGTAGCCGTGAAATCCGCATGTTATTAATCTCATCCCCTTCGGGATAATCGAAGGCGATCTGTTTTCGATGGAATTCTCACCACCGGATTTACGAATCGCTGATGCACACGATCGCGAAAAACACGACTTGATCTCTCTCTCTCTCTCTCTCTCTCTCTCTCTCTCTTTCTTCTGTGTTCCTACTTTCTTACCTTACTCTTTCTCTTTCTCTTTCCCATTTTTCTTCTCTCGCTTATCCCTCATCTTACATTCTCTTTCTCTCTTTCTCTCTCGCTCTCTTGTAACAAGAAACGAGTTTCCAACGATTCAATGCCTTGGTCTCGCAAATGTGAAAGTACATTACTGCAGGCTCTGAAAGTCGTTTTGCTCGAAGGTTTACCTTTCGAATGGCCCTGGACTGTTCATTAAGAAAAGAACTTCGAGTGAAGACAAGTGTACGATGAAAAATCGGGAGGAAAAAGAAGAAGCGAAATAGAGAGGAAAGGAATAAAATTTTCCGTAGTCGTAAATCGCATAATCCTATAAAGTAATGAAAGCATTAACAATAACTCAATGAGAAAGGAATTCTTTAGAAATCCGCGTTGCCCTCTCAAAAAAATGTTTTGCCGATGTAAGTAGATTTCTGAGTGTGCCAACAAACTTTATCGCCGTTTTTTATCCCTACTAGAAACGTTATTTGTAAAATTTATAGCAGCAAATTCCAGTAATGCCTTCCAGCAAATTTAGGTTTCATTATCAAATAATCACATTAAATAAATATACATTTTAATATAACTAATAATAATCTTTGTGGAAAACAATTTTCTGTAATCTATCAGTCAAACTTTATAACAAATATAAAGACGTTATAAAACGATTTTCTTTTCAAATTTCATTAATAGGATAGATAAACTCTATCTCTATTTAAATTGATTAAGTGCAAAATATATCGCAGTATCTGCTAATTATTTATCTACTTCAACTAATTTTTCCCGCAAAATTGTTGCTGTAATTGCAGGCCTATTTTTTGAGTGCATAAAAAAATATAAATTATAAATCGTAAAACAGAAAACAAATCAATTTATCACATAATTGATGTTAATTCGCGTTGCAGCCTGAAAATTATAGTAATAAAATCAAGATGTTGAGCAAACATATTTTTTCTAGTCTTTAGTATTTATGCTCGACTCTTTTTCATCTCGTCATATTTGCATCTAAATTTTGCACTCGGCCTCGACCTCCTATACAAGTCCGCGTTATCGCGTTCTCTTTTTCTCTCCCTCGTTTCTTATTCGATAATACACGTGTCTCTTCTCTCGTTCACGTCATCGCACCTTCATCCTCTCCTTCCTCGACCGAACTATATTTCTGTTACC